ACAGGCTCACGGCACTCACAGGCTCACGGCACTCACAATTCCCTCAGAGTGGTCATGGTGCAGATGACGCTGGGGAAGGTGCCGGAGAGGAGGTTGGACGCCACAAAGCTGAGGAGGGGAGGGGAGGGGAGGGGTCTGGGGGAAGTGAATTGCTTTGAGACGCCCCAATGCAGATGTTGCTAGGAGGACGCATTCGAGTCGACTCAAAAGCGCCCCAATGCAGATGAGGCTAGGAGGACGCATGCAACGCTGAGGAGAGGAGAGGAGAATAGGGAGAGGGGGAATGGGGAGAGGAGAATGGGGAGAGGAGAATGGGGAGAGGAGAATGGGGAGAGGGGGAATGGGGAGAGGAGAATGGGGAGAGGAGAATGGGGAGAGGAGAATGGGGAGAGGAGAATGGGGAGAGGAGAATGGGGAGAGGGGGAATGAAGGTAAACGGATGGGATGAGGGACCCTGGGGAAGAGCAACGAGCCTACTTTTGAGTCGACTCAAAGTGGTTGGTGTAAAACATGGGCAAAGGTGTTGACGACTCACAGCCTGTAGAGGTGATACAGTTCGCGGACCTCGCTACCGGGGCTACAGGTGGAAAAGATCACCTCTGCCGGGGACTCACAGCCTGTAGAGGTTGGTGAGGCGCGAGAAGGTGCTGGGAATGCCGCCCTTGAAATAGTTGATGTTGAGATGGCTGTAGGCGAAGAGAATCACGAAGAGACAGGGAGGATCAGGACAACGGAGGGAGCACCACCCACTTGTAACTTTGTGTGGCTTTTGACTCGACTCCAAAGAGACACGGACGAAAAGGAAGCGAGAGAGTGAACTAGCTAGTGCTGAAACGGGGACTGGGGCGATGGGGACTGGGGATTGGGGCGATGGGGACTGGGGATTGGGGCGATGGGGACTGCCTTTCAGCTCTTCTCTGAAGCCCGGGGACAGGAGCAAGCAGAGGGGAGGTGGGAAGGGGGAAGGGAAGAGGAGGGAAAGGAGGGCAGCCAGGGAGAAGCGGTGTGGGATAGCCAAGGCAAGTACAGAAATGGACAGCGGAAAGCGGTGGGGGATATGAGGACGCGAAGCGGGGGATATAGGGAGAAGCGGTGGGGGATATGAGGACGAGAATGTAGTTAGCGATGGTACAGGCAGAGAGGGGGGGGTCTCACAGCTGGTACAGGCTGCGCAAGTTGCCCAGCCCAGGCGGGATGGTGTGGTTGAAGTAGTTGCTCCATACTTGGCTGGGTGCAGATGGATGCAGATGAGCGCAGATGGATGCAGATGAGAGACAGAGGAACAGGCATGGTGAGGGGCATCGTAGGCATGTTGGGCATGGTGGGTGATCAGGCAAGGGAATGAAAGAGCAGACGAGCCCGACCCGAAACAGCGAGCAGGGCTTAGGGTACGGTGCCCGCATACGGTATGGCGTCAATATTACAGAAGAGGCCATATCAGATAGCTAGCTAGCCAACCCCCCATTATCACACTCACACTCCGCACTCACAGGTTCTGCAGGCGAACGAGCTTAGAGAGCGAGTTGGGGAACTCGTGGGTAAGCCAGTTCTTGGTAATGAGGCTGCCAGTAACGGGGATAAGGACCAGGAAGGTTGGGTTCAAGGAGAGGTAGGGTCCTTTCTCATGATGAGGGAGGGAAACATGAGGAGCAGTAGCAATGAGCGACATGCGGAGGGAAACGGGAGGGTCTGTCACTGGCTGGTAGCTAGCAACGCAGCAGGCAGCCTTACACACAACAACAACCACAGGCAGCGCATGACAACCACCACACGACGCATCATCCAGAGCGACAATGGTGATTGTGGCCAGGCGGTTATAGCGAATGTGAGCCACGGGCGCGAGGGGGGGGGGGGGATGACTGACAGTTCTTGTAGGGTGGTGAGGTCGCCGATAATGCCGGGCAGACTGCCTTTCAGGCCCAGACGCTCATCTCCATGCGCCTGTTGGGGTGACGCCGTGCAGGACACATGCACACGGGGGATACACAAATGTGAGGAGACGCACACAAGTAACCATGCGCGCCCGACACCAACACCAACACCAACACCAACACCGACACCAACACCGACACCAACACCGACACCAACACCGACACCAACACCAACTAAAGACGACGAGGAGAAACGGGTTTCGCGTCCCCATGCGCACTGATCAACAAACGGGACGCTTCCTTCTCATCCAACAACCAGGGCCGGAATGAACGGGCAGGATGTTGCCACGTGTGCAGCACGGGCGGGATGAACGGACCTGATGGTGCCGTCGGTCCAGCACGTGATTCTAGTCCATTGATCGCACGGCTTGGAGCCGTCCCACGAGCTGAGATCCGCGTATTTCGACCACGTGGCCTTGAGTGACATCATCACGGGCACTGGGGGAAGAGGGGGGGGGGGGGGAGAGAGGGGCGAGTTGAGAAGTTTTGGGTAGATTGGGGAAGAAAAGGGAAGGAGGGCGTGGCGTTGAGGGGCATCATCACGGGCACTGGGGGGAAGGGGGAGTTGGGGGACGTGGCCGTGGCCTTGGGGGACGACTGGAGGATTGGTGGGTTGTTGGGCGTTGGGCGTTGGGAGGGGGGGATTGGGGGAGAAAGTGGGAGACTATTTTTGAGGCGCCTCAAAAATAGACTGGAGGATTGGTGGGTTGTTGGGTTGGGCGTTGGGCGTTGGGAGGGGGGTATTGGGGGGAGAAAGTGGGAGAGGTAGGGGGTAATTCTTGAGTGCACTCAGAATTACCACGTCATGCCTCGCAAAAGCATTGGTGGGGGAAAGATGCGATTCTTCCAACGTGGTTAACCCTGTCAAGTACCCCTAGCACACACACGCCCATTGGTCTCGTAACATGGTGACGTTGGCGGGGAAAGATGATCCTTGAGAGACGTCCCAGGTTCCTTAGGCTCACACTGCGACTTGGCCACGTAGATGGGAGCCGCCATTGGGTACGCCAAGCCCGCTGACGTGGCGATGAGCGCCGCGGGATCACGACTCCCACTCGTGGAGGCGGCGGTGGAGGCGGCGGTGGAGGCGTCTCCACTGAACGCGTCGCGGTAGGTAAATTCAAGAGGGGCGCTTCGTAGGGAGTCATCATCCAACGTGTCGTGAGCGAAATCGCGGTAGGTGGAATCCAGGTCGAATGCATCGCGGTAGGCGGACTCGCCGAGAGTCGTGGAGCTTCCATCGTTACGATGACGATCATGCGCCGCGTCGCGCTGCCGCGGAGATGATTGAAACGCGGACGCATAGCGGTGGTCGTGGGGCTCCTGCGTCAAGCGAAACGCGGAGGCCCGGCGGGGAGCGCGGGACTTGCGATGAGGAGCAGAAGCCACGCAGCCATCGCGCTAAGTGCGGCTCGACGGGGGCGCGCCATCGGCGAAACAGACGCGGAGGGGAAATTGAACTCACCACTGGCGAGACCTCCGCTATTGGAACGTAGGAAAGACTAATCACTTAGATCACTGAGATCACTTTAGATCACTTTGACAAAGGGGACGATGGGCGGGGAGAGGGTGAGATATAGCCCTTTCGGGACCACTTGGTAGGTTCTACTACTAGGGCGACGGGTCTCACGGTGGCGGCTAGGTGCGGGGTACGATGGTGCAAAGGAGGGCGCAGAATTATTTTCTGTAGTAGCGCTGCGCCGCAGCCGAGGCGGCATATAGCTCCTTCCCGATCTTAGCTATTTTGCTGGAGGACCCTGGTTCTAGCAGGGCTCGAAAAGCGTGGACTTTTGAGTCGACTCAAAAGTCAGCCCGAAGCGGCGTATGGATCTTTTCCGACCCTAGATATTTTGCTGCAGGAGCTTGGTTCTAGTAGCGTGTGAGGAGGTCGCGGCCCGCGAAAGCGATGGCTAACACATTCGCGTGTGAGTCAGTGCGGCTGGAGGGAGCGGTACTAGCGGCGACGACTAAGCGATGGCGACTTGCTATTTGTTTCACGAGCATGGGAATATCATGAGATGACTAACGCGATGCTGGTAGAACATGGCGGCTGATCGGCTAACTAGAAGAAGGTTGTTCATTTGTGTTGTGCAGAGCTTAGCTCCAACCCACGAGTGTATTGATCGCTCTCAGCTCAGCTTTCCGCCTCCCCCATCTCTTGCCTTCCAAGTTCCAACCGAGCGAATCCGGTGACTGAATTGAGCGGGTGGAGCCAATTACACCAGCAGCACCACCTGCCTGCCTGCCTCCACTGTGCCTTATGCGAGACGAGTTTCCATTTGGGCGATTCGGCGAGGGAGGCAGATGCAGAATGTGCGAGTCAGAGCCAGAGCGCCAATGAACAGCCCCCCCCGTCCCCCCCATCCACGCAAGTTCCTTTCGCCCCAACCACAATTCCACTACACCCCCCAGTGCCCCACCTCCCCCCAAACCAAACGAACCGGACCGAACGTGCTGACGCGGTACGGACGTCCGTCCGAACCAATTCGTCTCTGCTCTGCTCGACTGCCGCGCGCGCGCAGGAAGGCAGCGCAGCCAGGTCGAGCTGGTTGTCGGCTTGTGGGATTTCGGCGGCGCACGACGACTCATGCGCACGGCAGATTTTCAAAGAAAACCAGACCTAACCAAACGTCAGGCAAGGCAAGGGTGGTGGTTGGGCATGCCTGGCGAGGCTCGACGACATCAAACGAAAAGGCTCACGAACTTCGTAAGCGTCGTCTGGAAATTGTCGATACAAGTTCTCTAATTTTTGGGATAAAAGGTTCAGACAAGGTGTGCTAGCTCGAGATGATTAAACATGAAAGTGAAGATTTATATATAAAGTATACTGTTCCGTACAATCACATTCGACACTGACGATTTTCGGAGGTTTCTAGGGTTGGTTTGAACGTCGACTTTGGTGTTTCAAATCTCCTCACCTCGGGACCTGCCCCACGCAAACCCCGCAGCAGCTCTGTGCTCCGCTCTTGCTCGCAGGTCGCTATTTCCCGCTCAACACCCACACCTGTCCGCAAAAGTCTCCTGTTTCCTTCGTGCTTTTGCTCTCTTGCGCGAATTTTGTCGCACGATATCGGAGCAAAAGCCTCTCAAAATTCCTTCGACTCTAATTTGTTGACATCTCGAGTCGCACTTAGCGATAGAATTAGCGTTCTAATCTCGTTACTTTGACCTAGCCGTTTCTTGCCACGCCAAGACGCGCCGCTGACTAAGCTTTGTGCGTATACCTAAGTAGCTTGCGACTAATTCACAGGACGTAGTTATTGTTTCCGAGTAACAATTCATTCTGGACTTCCAAGTTGTCGTTCTAGGTAGAGAGGTCCTGGCAGGAAGGTCATTTTCGCGCGTAGTGGATTCTTGTCATGTCGTAACCCTAGCTTCGCGAGCATGACCTGTGCGAGTGAGCGAAGGGTCCTCGTAGTTCGCTCAGCTCTGCGAGTGATGTTCGTTCACGACCCGTCGCAGGAGGACGATAGACCGAAACCATGCTCGCAAGCTGCCTTGCGACAATGCGTGTCGCCACGGAGCTGCGACGGGCCAGGCGACGAGCCTGCGACGGTCGCGTGTGACAGTACCGATCGCACAGTACCGAGCGACCAAGAGCATGCTGTCGCAGGCGAAGAGCTTGACGCATTGGAAGCGGGTCACTCGGGGAAAGACGCCCCATTGGCGACAGAGTTGCCCACAGGCGCGGATAAGCAACTCGCGCGTGTTCCCGAGCCGGTTGCGCAACAGTCGCCGCCCCCCAACTCCCCGCTTCCCCCGCTAGTAGAGGCCCAGCCCGCCGCGGACCGCTCAGAGCTATCACGGAAAGAGGCGCGAGAAGGGAGCGGATGAAGCAGGGCCGATTCCCTGTGGGACGCCCCATCCGCTATCCGGTTCCCCCGATCCCGCCTGCCAACGCGCTGACGTCAGTCCGACCAAGGGGGGCGGGACAGGCAAGGCCCTTCCGCGCAGTCCGCGCAGCACCTCCCGCATTCGCTGCCCGGGCAGGCGCAGCTGCAGTCGCACCCGGTCGCGGAGCAGATCGCAAGCCAGTCGCAGATCCCTTCGGCGGACACAACAGGAGCACGCGCAACAGGAACAGCAGCAGCAGCAGCAGCAGCAGCAGCCGCGGCGGGGTTTATGGAGGCGATGTCAGAGCAGATTGGGTAGACATGGCGGGCTTTTCTCACTGGCAACCCTTCGCCGCACCCATCCCGCCCCCCGCTTCCGCGCAAAGCGCAAGCCTTGTCACTCCGCCGCCCTTCGCGGGATCCGCGGGAAATGTGGGCAGGATGGGGAGCCTCGCGCTGAGTAACATCTTCGCGCTGCCCTCGTCCGCCCCCGCTGGTGCGCTCCCCCTGTCCGATCCCGCCAATGCGCTCCCCAGACGGGGAAGAGGCGCGGGCGACCGCGAAGTCGAATTCCCCCGCGACTGGTAAGGCGGAAGGAGGCCGCGCAGAAGGGGGGAGCGCGGGGGTCGTGGAGAGGCGGATCACCCGCGGGGTGGCCGCGCGGATGAGTCTCCAGAAGCAGTTTGAGGGGGTTGCGGAGCGAGAGGGCGCGGAGGAGGGGGGGAGGGCGCGGAAGAGGAGGGGGAAGGCGTGGGAAGGAGGGGGGGGCGAGGGGAAGGAAGAGACGGGTAGCGGAAGCTGCTGCTGTGAGGAGGTCTGAGAGGCTGAGTAGAAAGAGGGGAGGATGGGAAAGTGAGGAGGAGGAGGAGGAGGAGGACGAGGAAGGAGAGGAAGGAGAAGAAGTGGAGGAGGAAGGGGAGGAAGGGGAGGAAGGGGAGGAAGGGGAGGAAGGGGAGGAAGGGGAGGAAGGGGAGGAAGGGGAGGAGGAGGAGGAAGCGGAGGAAGGAGAAGAGAACGGGGGGGAAGGGCAAGAGGACGAGGACGGGGAGGAAGAGGAGGAGGGGTGGGGTGAGGAAGGAGAGGAAGGGGAGGAGGATGCAGGGGAGGGGCAAGAGGCGGAAGACTGGGAGGAGGGGGGAGGGGGAGAGGAGGCGGGCGACCAAGACGTGGGAGAGGAAGCACACGAGGAGGAAGGGGTGGAGGGGGAGAGAGCTGAAGATGCTGGCATTGTTGAGGATGAGGGTGTGGGCCCCACTGGTGTTGCACCTGAGGGCGAGGGAGGGGGCGTACAAACCCAGGCTGTGGCAGGGCCAGGTGGAGCTGAGGCGGGTTTTACTGGGGCAGGTTCAACTGAGGATGGAGGTGTGATTCTCGGGCATTCTTTTGAGGCTGGGGGGGGGGAGGAAGAGGAGGGAGCAGAGGAAGTAGTGGAGGTGGGAGGAAGGGCGTTGGTGGGAGCGGAAACAGAGGGGGTAGTGGCGGAGGGAGGAGGTTCAATGGATTTTGGGAGGCGCAGGGGTACTGGAACAGGCAGGCATGGAGGCAGGTGGGGAGGGGGAAGGGGAGGGCGAGGCGGAGGGAGGGGTGCAACTGGCAGTGGTTGAGGGTTTAAACATCCCCCATACAGAAGTTGCGATAGGTGCTGCTGACAGGGCTTTAATGGGGGATGTGGTGGGTGGCTTTGGGGGGGACGGCGAGCAGGATGACGTCATCATGATGGAGGCGGAGGGAGGAACCGATGCCACTAAGCATGGTGATAGTAACGAGGGGGCTTGCCTGGCGCTCGTTACTGTGGAGAACACACTCCAGGAAAATGGCATAGAGCATATGCTAGAGAACACCGCAGAGCTTGCCGTAGCAGAAGCAGGAGCAATGGCAGAGGGGGGAGCAGAAGGAAACAGACGCCTGGGAGAAGCTGAGTGTGGTGAGCTGGCGCTGGCAGGGAATCCCTGGGAGGGCGCAGATGAGGAGGCAAGTGAGGAGGCAGAAGAGGAGAAATGGACGGTTTGGGGATTCGATTTCCGGTTTGATCTCAAGTCAAGGGAGCAGGAGGCAGAGGTACTACCGCCAGTTTATGGCTCACATGACGTCAGCAGGAGGGGTTGAGGGCTTCAGCCTGCTCTTCCCGGGCTCGGCTGCTGGCCGCAACATCAACCTCTGGAGAAGAAGGTTTATCAGGGCCAATCCGCACCTGATTCTGGGCTGGGATAATGTGCGCCAGCAGGAGTTGAACCCGGGTCTTCTGGGAGCGGGGCTGGCAGGGCCAGGTGCTGAGGCCACACCAGAGAAAGCACAGATCTCCTGGGCTGTTGATGGTGCTGAGATCTTGGGGGGGGAATCAGGGAAGGGGGAGTCAGGGAGGGGGGAACCAACCACCCACACGCCCGTGCTCTTTGAATCACTGAGGTTGGTGGAGGGGGGTATGCGGTCCGGCACGCCAGGGCTGCCACGCACGCCAGGGCTACCAGGCACACCCGGACTGCCAGGGACGGCTGGGGTATCAGGGACTCCTGGGCTATCAGGGGCGCTTGGGGGATCAGCGGTGTATGGCCCCTCTGGCAAGAAGAAGCAGTACATGTGCCGCAAGTGCGGCGCCCCCAAGAAAGGGCACGTCTGCATGGCCGACCCTGCAGCCGCTGCTGCCTTTGCCGCTGCTTCGGCTGCCGATGACGCCGCCTATGCTGCTGCTATAGAGGCGGAGGAGATGGAAGCAGTGGCTGATGCTGAGGCAGCAGCACGAGAAGCAGCAGCAGCAGCAGCTAGGGAGGCCGCCAGGAGGGAAGAGAAGCGCGGGAGGCGCTGAGAAGAGACGCAGCAGCGCGGGAGGCAGAGGCGAGAGAGCAGGCGATGTGGGAGGAGAGGGCGAGGAGGGAGAGTGCTGCGAGGGAGAGAGAGATCCGGGCGGCTGCTCGAGCAGAGGCAGAAAGGAGGAAGGAGAGGGAAGAGGCGGAGGCAAAGGCACGGGCGGAAGAGAGGGCGAAGGAGGAGGCGGACGGTGCGGGGAGGGCAGAGAGGGAAGGGAAAACGAAGGCTGCGATTATCAAGAGGAGGCGTGCTGAGGTGGAGGCAAAGGCGAAGGCTGCTGCTGCCGAGGCAGAGGCGAAAGGGAAGGCTGAAACGGAGAAGGTTAGAGCAGATAGAGAAGCCAAGGAAACGGCAGCGGCGGAGAAAGCTGAAGTGGCTAAGGCGAAGGCTGCTGCAGAGGCAGAGGCGAAGGGGAAGGCTGAAGCGGAGGAGAGGAGAATGGAGGCTGAGAGGCGGGCTGAAGCGGATAGAGAGGCGAAGAAGAAGGCTGAAGCCGAGGAGAGAAGAATGGAGGCTGAGAGAAAGGTTGCAGCAGAGAGAGAAGCAAAGGAAAGGGCGGACGCGGAGAGAGCAGCAAGAGAAAGGGCTGAAGCGGAGAAGGCTAGAGCAGATAGAGAGGCCAAGGAAAAGGCAGAGGCGGAGAAAGCTAAGGTGGAAACGGAGAGAAGGTCTCGACGAGTGCGGGAAGCGAAGGAGAGAATAGAGGCAGAAGCGACGGCTAAGGATGATGTAGAAAAGACCAGAGCCGAGGCAGAGAGGAGGGCTGAAGAGGAGAAAGCTCGAGCAGAGAGAGAAGCCAAAGACAAGGCAGAGGCGGAAGCGAAGGTGAGAGACGAGGCAGAGAAGGGTAGAGTAGAGGCGGAGAGGAGGGCTGAAGCAGAGAGGGAGGAGAGGGAGAAGGCAGAGGCGAAAGGAAGGGCAGAAATGCGGAGAGCGAAGAGGGAAGCAAAGGAGAAGGCAGGAGTGGAGAAAGCTAGAGAAGATGCAGAAGCAGAGCGAAGGAGAAGAACAGATTGCGGTGAGGCGAAATTGGGATGTGGGATAGAGGTGCCAAGGGCTGTACACAGGCAGCCGGAGGCAGCAGGGAAGGGAAGGGGAGAAACGATTCTGAAAGTTCGGTTTGGAAGTAGGGTGGTTGCCCGTGTAGAGGCAGGAGTAAAGAGAAGAGAGGAGGGGAGTGAGGGATGCGTGGACAACGAGGAGGGTGGGGAGGAGTACAGGGAGGAAGGTGCAGGGGAGACGCATAGAGAGGAGGAGCAGACGAGAAGGAGGAGATTCAAGAGGAGGGCGGACTGTGAGGGGGGCGAGGAGGGGAGGGAGAAAGGGGGGACTGGCATGCAAGGCAGGGACGCAGGTCTGCATGCAGGGGTGGAGGAAGGATGTAGGGTAGAGAGGGCAAGGCGGGTGAAGAGAATCAAGATACTGCCACTGGTTGGGGGGGAGATCGGTGGGGATAGGGGCAAGGAGAGAGATGGGGAGAGGAGAAGGGATGGGGATAGGAGCAGGGGTGGGGAGAGAGGGGAGCATAGAGGAGAAAGGAGAGCAGGACAAAGGGGTGCTGGCAGAGGGAGGAGAGGCAAGAAGAAGGGGGGGAAAGGGAGTAGGGACGACGGGAAGGGGGAAGGGGATGGGAGCAAAGAGAGTGGAGGGGAAGAGTCCGAGGGGGAGGATAGTGATGGAGAGGAGAATGGAGGTGAAGGGAATAGGGACGAAGGGGATGAAGGGACAGAGGGTGGGGGCCGTGGTGGTGGGGGCAATGGGGACGAGGGGGGCAATGGGGGGGGTGATGATAATGGGGGCAATGGGGGGGTGATGACAAGGGGGCAACGGGGGGAATGATGATAAGGGGGAAAATGGGAGGGGTGATAATAATGGGGGCAATGGGGGGGGTGATAATAATGGGGCAATGGGGGGAATGATAATAATGGGGGCAATGGGGGGGGAGATAAGGGGGGCAATGGGGGGGATGATGATAATGGGGGCAATGGGGATAAAGATGATAAGGAGAAACCCGGGGATGGGGTAGGGGGTGGAGAGGAAGGGAGAGAGGAGGGGGAGGAAGGAGGCGGGGACAAAGGAGAAGAGGATAATGAGGGGGATGAGAAAGGGAAGGGGGAGTGTGGGGGCAAAGGAAAGAAGGAAGGCGGGATGGAGGAAAGAGGGAAGCAGGAGGAAGGGAAGGAGGAAGACGGAAAGAAGGAGGATGGGGAGGAGAAGGGAGGGAAGGAGGAGGATGAGGAGGAGAAAAGAGGGAAGAAGGAAGGAGCGAAGGAGGAGGATGGGAAGGAGGAAGGAGGGAAGGAGGAGGATTGGAAGGAGGAAGGAGGGAAGGAGGAGGATGGGGAGGAGAGAAGAGGGAAGAAGGATGGATGGAAGTTGGAGGAAGGGGAGGCGGATAAACAAACGGAGAAAGGAGGGAACGACGGAGGGGAAGTAGACAGAGGGAGTGAAATGGAAGTGAAGGGGCAGCAGAGGCTAGATAGGCGTGATAGGCTGGGTGGTGATGCGAAAGGTGGAGCGATGGAAAGGAATGAGGGGGGAGGGGGTGTGATGGAGGTCAAGGAACAGCAGAGGAGAGATGACCAGGTTGTATATGCGGAAGTTGGAGGGTTAGGGGGCAACGAGGGGGGAAGGATTAAGGATGGGGAGATGGATGATGGAGGGAAGGGCAGAAAGCGGAAGGAGATCGACGTGAAAGGGAATGCGAAGGATGAGGATGGGGAAAGTGATAAGAGGAGAGATAGGCGGGATGAGGATTCGAAAAGTGGAAATTTTGAAGGGAATGAGGGGGGAGGGGCTGGGGATGGGAGAGGGATGATGGAGGAAGGGGAGTAAGGGGAAGGGATTGATGGGAAAGGGAATGCAGTGAATGGAAGCGCAGAGAGGGATAAGGGGAAAGGGATAGAGAGGAAAGGGTGTGCGGGGGAGGAGAATGGGGGGAAGGGGAGTGAGGAGGGGCATGAGGGGGCGGGGAGTGAGTTGAAGGGGATTGAGGCGAAGGGGCGTCATGAAGGGGAGGTGAACGAGGGGAAGGTGAATGGGGAGGAAGGGGCTGAGGGGAAAGGGGATGGGTTGAAAGAGAGTGTAGAGAGCGAGAATGAGGATAGAGGACAAGAGGATAGTGGGAAGATGAGTGAGGGGAAGGAGAATGAGGGGAAGGAGAATGCGGAGAATGGGAATGGGGAGAATGGGGATGAGGAGCATGGGAGCACGACAGAGGAAGACGAAATCGAGTGGATAAAAGAGGAGCGTGAGGAGGGTGAGTCGCGCGGGTATGCGGAGGTGGAGGAGGATGAGTCAGAGGGGTGTGTGGCGGTGGAGGAGGGTGGATTGAGCGGGGGTGCAGGTGAGGAAGAGGATTCAAAATGGTATGTGGAGGTGGAGGTGGTAGTGGACGATACACGCCACACGTCCGGGCCTGTCGATACTGCTGTTGCAGCCAACAGCATTGATGCTAACAAGTCGGCAGCTGAAGGCATTGCAGACCGGACCAGATTTGATGAGACTCCTGCTGCTGCTGGTTCTGCTGCTGCTGGTTCTGCTGCTGCCCCGCCTCAAGAAGCCTTACAAGGGGCAATTACCCCTACCAAAGAACCCCCGCCTGCTAAATCAGTCTGCCCTGCCCCGGCCATGTCCCCTGCCGTAGCACAACCGCGTTCTGTGGAGTCTGTTGCTGCGCCTCCCATACCTGAGCCCGCAGGTGCATCTGAACCCACACCATCTGCACCAGGTGAAACAACAGAGAACTCTCCTGATGCCCCAGGTGCAGCTCAATCTTCAGGTGCCCCTTCAGGTGACCCCACCAACGCCACCACAACCCTCTCCTCGCCCCCCTACCCCGGCCCGACCAATGTCACGCTGACAACTGTCCCCAAGAACGTGAAATCCCTCCTCGAATCTGGCCTACTGGAAGGCATCCCCCTGGTGTACGACGACGGGCGTAACCGGCTGCGCGGCGTGGTAACCAGGGGGGCCGTGGCGTGCGGGTGTGCCGAGTGCGGGTGGAGAAATATAGTCCCGTGCGCCGCCTTTGAGCTGCATGCGGGGAGTGCGGCCAAGAAAGCAGCCAACTACACGTTCCTGGACGTGCCGTGTGCTGCGAGTGAGTGTGAGCGGGAGGGCCGGACCATGTCAGCTGCTGAAGCGGCGAGCCTCCGAGGGCCGTGCCTGAAGGATATTATTCTGGTTGCCGGACGTGCTGCCGAGCCTGGCGCTGCTTCGACGGCGGTGGAACGGGAGATGAGGCGGGCGTTTGGGGAAGGGGCGTGGGGAGGAGGCTCGGATGGGGGGGCGAGAGATGGGGATGGGAGAGGGGCGGCGGTGGGGGGAAGGGTGGGTGCGGGAGAGGCGGGAGGAAGGGCATCTCCTGCTGCGGGTGTGTGGGCACCGGGTGTGAGGTCACCTGGTATGCGGTCTCCTGGCGGCATCCCAAGGTCTCCTGGGGTGATCCCAAGGTCGCCCATAGGAGCTGTGTGGTCGCCTTATAGTGGCGGCAAGGCTGCAGCCGGGGGAGGGCTATCTGCTGGTGCAGGGATGGCTGGGGGAGGTGGAACTGGCGGTGCTGGGGGGAGTGTGAGTGAGGGGCAAGTGCGGAAGCAGCAGGGCTACACGCCGGTGAGGAAGAGGTACGCTGGGGTAGATTGGAGGGAAGAAGGGGGTCCGTTGGAGAGGGGAAATAGTGGTGTCAGACTTTGTGGCGTCTCCTTTTCGCCCCTCTCATGCTCCAGCTCTCCCATTCATCTTGTGTGTGCTTGTGTTGGTGTGTGTATGCATAATGCATGTGTGCTTGTGCCTGCATGTGCATGCGTGTGCGCCAGGGAGTCGGGGTCAACGCACAAGGCACTGTTCCGACCAGGCGGGATAGAGGATGGCACAGGGCTAGGCTATTACATGAAGGGGCAGGTGAGGTGGTTACCGTGTGAAGGCGTTACTATGTTTGCTTTTTTAGTGGACTCAAAACGAAACTCATATCATGCTATGTTTACGTAATGGTAGGGCGAGGAGGACCAAACCTTATCTTGTGCACATGTCGCTCCTTTCACTCTCTCTTCTCTCCGTCCCTCCGCATTATCTCACTCACTCCTTCTGTGCTCTCACTCATGTGCGCCTTTCACTTCTGTCCGTCGCTCCGAGGTATCTCTCAATCTGCCGCCGCGGCCCCTCTCCTCGTCCCCCCTAGTTCCCTGTGTCGGCTGCACTGAGTCGGCTGCACAGGGCACGGCAGCGGCATTCTGTGCCCAAGTGATGGGCTCGCTCACTCGTCGCCCTCCCTACTCCCTCGCTCCCCGCCATCCCTGTAACCTCCTCTCCCTGTGTGTCCAGTGCCTGCTGAAAGGAGTCGACCAAGGCGGTGGCATTCTGTGGCCCAGTGATGGGCTCGCTCACTCGTCACCCTCCCTCCTCCCTCTCTCCCCACCATCCCTTCCAACCACCTCTCCCCGTGAGTCCAGTGCCTGCTGAAAGGAGTCAAGCAGGGCAGCGGCATTCTTTGCAGCTGCTGCAACGAAGTGGTAAGCACTCTCCCCCGCCCCATCTCCCGCACCCTTCCCTTCCCGCCCCACCTCCCGCACCCTTCCCAACCCCCTTGTCCCCGCTCTCTTCCAAGGCATGTCCTCCAAGGCATGTCCTCCAAGGCATGTCCTCCAAGGCATGTCCTCCAAGGCATGTCCTCCAAGGTATGTGCTCCAAGGCATGTGCTCCAAGGCATGTCCTCCAAGGCATGTGCTCCAAAGCATGTCCTCCAAGGCATGTCCTCCAAGGCATGTCCTCCAAGGCATGTGCTCCAAGGCATGTGCTCCAAGGCATGTCCTCCAAGGTATGTGCTCCAAGGCATGTGCTCCAAGGCATGTCCTCCAAGGCATGCTCCAAGGCATGTGCTCCAAGACATGTCCTCAAAGGCACGTGCTCCAAGGCATGTGCTCCAAGGCATGTGCTCCAAGGCATGTGCTCCAAGGCATGTGCTCCAAGGCATGTGCTCCAAGGCATGTGCTCCAAGGCATGTGCTCCAAGGCATGTGCTCCAAGGCATGTGCTTTAGAGTCGATTCAAAAGCCATGTTGCTCAGCCTCCCTCCTCGTTTCCTTGACAATGGGGCAAGCACCAAGTTGCTTCTTCCTCCCTGCCCCCTCCGCCCTTCCCCATCGGGCATCCCCGTGGTGTCGCCCGTGCAGATCAGCAGCTCTCAGTTCGAGTTTTGAGGCGCTTCAAAAGTTGCTTCCTCCCTACCCCTTTCGCCCTTCCCCATCGGGCATCCCCATGGTGTCTTCCGTGGTGCAGATCAGCAGCTCTCAGTTCGAGGCGCACGCTGGGAAGGGAGCGCACCGCAACCCGTGAGTCTCTTGCATGAGCTGAAACCGCAACACAGCACTATTGTGACAGAGATTATGAGACTAAGAGATCAAGAGATACCGTATAAGCATACTTATTCCATACAAGTGCTCCCCAAGCAGTTACTGCCGCCTGCATTACCAGCAATCTAATGCGGTGACTGATGCCAATCAAGTGCTGCCCTGCACCCTCCCCACCCACCCACCCTGCTCCCCGGTTCCTTCTCCTCTCATCTGTCCCCTCACCCACGCCTCCAGCCACAACCGCATATTCACCACCGAGGGCTACAGCCTGCAAGACCCCTTCCTTCCCCTCTCATCTGCCCCCAATCCGATCCCCCACCCACCCCTCCAGCTACAACCGCATATTCACCACCCAGGGCTACAGCCTGCACGACCTGGCAGTCCAGCTGGCCGCCTCCCGCCCACCGTGCACGCCTGCTGCTTCTGCTGCCGGCTCTGCTGGGAGGAAATCAGCCAGCAAGCGCGGCGCCGCAGGAGGAGAGGCCCGCGACTCCCGCGAGTCGAGCCCGCGCGTGCACCTGGGCATGGGCGCGGACGGGCACTCGGACGACTGCATCATGTGCGGCGACGGGGGCGTTCTGCTGCTCTGCGAGAGCTGCCCTGGGGCGTACCACCCTGACTGCGTGGGCCTGCTTGCTATCCCCGATCAAGACTGGTACTGCCCCACTTGCAAGCCCTCTACTGCTTTCTCCCGCCACCTGGCCCCGCTCCCCCCGAGTGCGGTGAAAGGGGAGGGCACGCGGGGGAAGGGGAGGCTGCGGGGCGCCGGGGGGAAGGGGAAGCGGAAGGGGGAAGCGACAGGGGAGGCGGCGGCGGCTGGGGAGGCGGGGGAGGAGGGGAAGGGGGGGGAGGGACTGGGGGAGGTAGATGTGGAGGTGGAGCGGTGCAGACGACTGGTAAAGGAGCTAGAGAGCGCCGGGGGAGGGTGCGTCTTGTGCCACTCAGGGTCGCACGACTTTGTCCCGTCGGGGTTTGGCCCGCGGACCATCATATTCTGCGATCAGTGCGAGAAGGAGTACCACGTGGGGTGCTTGAAGGAGCATGGGGTGCAGGATCTGCTGCAGTTGCCCGAGGGGAATTGGTTTTGTTGCAAGGCGTGTGAGGAGGTGTATGATGCGCTGCAGGCCGTGCTGGCACGGGGCACCATGCACCTGCCAGACCTCCCGGATTGGGATGAAATGGCCGAGCCGCACCTGCTGGAGCCAGAATTGATTCAGCCTGTACCAGCACCAGCAGTACTGGCTTTGCCACCAGCAGCAGCAGAAGCAGCAGCAGCATCAGCAGCGACACTGCAGCCGCATATTCGGGCTATTGCCACGCCTGGCCCACTTGCCACTCCTGTCTCTCACGCCTCGCCCCTCCCTCCGGGCAGCACGCCGCCCAGCCAGCACAGCAGTGCGTGCCGATTGGAGCTGCCTCAAAGCACACCTCAGCAGGGCGGGAGTGCATCCCAGGCTCGGGCAACAACGTTTGACACCACTCCAATCATGTCCCAGGCCCGGGCGGCGACCTTTGACCCGACGCCCAACTCGTCGCAGGCTCGGGCGGCGCAGAGCAGGGCCCGGGGCGGCGAGCTGACGTGGCAGGTGCTGAAGGGGCGGCGGGGTTCGGAAGCCAACGGACTGACGCTGGGCGGCGTATGTCAGCTGTTTGCGGAGTCGTTTGACCCGATTAGAGATGGGCTCACGGGGAAGGACCTCATCCCCCTCATGGTCCGCAGGTAAACACCCTCGCCTCCCTCATGATTCGCAGGTAAATTCCGTATTATCCCTGCTTCGTGGCAGTTTGTCTCTCGCAGCAGCAGGAGCACGAGCTCCAGAGCATGTTTCTGCGTCGTGCGCAAGCACACAGGTGTTCCCCCTGTTGCTTTGCCTCCCTATCCTCTCATGCCTCGCCCATCCCTCACCCCTACAGTCGCAGCAGCCGGGAGCACGGGGTCCAGGGCATGTTCCGCACCGTGCTCAAGCACACAGGGGCCCTCCTCTTCCCTTGCTTCTCCATCCCTCTCCACCCCTAACCCATGCCTTGCCTTCTGCTGTCCCACCCACCCCCGTCTTCCCCCCAACAACAGTCGCAGCAGCCGGGAGCATGAGTTTCAGGGCATGTTCTGCACCGTGCTCAAGCACCGCGACCGCGTGGTGTGTGCCGCATGCATCCGCATCTTCGGGCGGGAGCTCGCCGAGATGCCCCTCGTCGCCACGGCCTACTCGCACAGACGGAGGGTGAGTGGGTTGCAGCTTGTGAGTCACTGTGTGTTGCCTGCCCTTCAAGCCCCGCGACCGTGTTGTGTGTGCCGCATGCATCCGCATCTTCTGGCAAGAGCTTGCCGAAATGCCCCTTGTGTCTACTGCGTACTCGCACAGAAGGCGGGTACGTTCCACAGTAATTATTTTTGAGTCCACTCAAAGAACAGTGGGAGCTTTGTGGTCCACAATCAGCCTCCCGCGCCTCTCCTCTTGCACTCTTCTCTCGTCCCTCCGCTCACCGTCGCCCCTCCCTCCGCGCTCGCCACTCTCTGCTCCTTCCTCATCTTCCCTCTCTCCTCTCTTTGCTCGCCCCCCCCCCTCCTCTCGCCCCTTCTCTCTCCTCCGCCACCAGGGCCTCTGCAAGATTCTGCTCAACTCACTCGATGTTCTCTTCTCCCTCCTGGGCGTCAAAAACTTTTGCCTGCCCGCTGCCCCGGGTGCAGAGGGCACGTGGATAAAAGGGTTTGGCTTTTCAGTGATGACTGAGGAAGAGGTCACTCAGGTGCATCGGGATTTCCCGCTCCTCGTCTTCCCCGGATCTGTCAGCGTGGTTCGGCAGGTCCCGAGCCTGCCCCGGAATTACCGCCAGGCGGCCGAGCTTCAGGTGTTTGGTGCGGTTGGGGTGGCGCCTTTGCCGCACTTGGAGTCCCTCCCCCCGTTATTGTCACACTCGATACAAGACAAGTTGCCAGAGAAGAAACAAGCAGAGGAAGAGAAGCCTCGGGGTGAAAAGGGTATGGGGGAAGGAGGAATGAAGCAAGAACAGGCAGGAAGTGGGGCAGCAGCGTCGGCATTAGAGGGTGCTGCTGCTGTTGCCGCTCTTACTGCTGCTCCTGCTCCTGCTCCTGCTTCTGCTGCTGCTGCTCCTGATGCTGATGCTGCTGCTCCTGCTCCTGCTGCTGTTGCTGCTGCTGCTGCAGCAGCAGCTGGTACTGCTGCTGCTGCTGGTGCATCGGCTCCTGCTCCTGATGCCATTGAGTCTGCCACTGGAGCCGTGTTACATTCAGCTAAGGAGGAGGACGGTGCAGGGGATGCAGAGAAGGGAGCAAAGGCAACGCAGGGCATAAGGGCAGCTGCAGTTGCTACAGCAGGAGTGGCAGTGGGGCCTGCTATTAACAGTGCTGTTGTGACAGCTGCTGCAGGGGAGGCAGAGGTGGTTAGGCAAGCAGGCGTGGTGACAGCAGGGGATAGTGCACAGAGTGTGATGCTGACAGCAGGGGATGGTGCTGCGAATGTGGTGGTGACGGCTGATGCTGAGGAAGCAGTGGTGGTTAGGGAAGCAGGGTTGGTGAGAGCAGGGGATGGTGCTGAGAGTGTGGTGGTGATTGGTGGTGAAACAGAAGCAGAGGTCGTTAGGCAAGCAGCGGTGGTGAGAGCAGGAGATGGTGCTGAGAGTGTGGTGGTGATTGGTGGTGAAACAGAAGCAGAGGTCGTTAGGCAAGCAGCGGTGGTGAGAGCAGGAGATGGTGCTGAGAGTGTGGTGGTGACGGCTGGTGCAGGGGAAGTCGAGGTCTTGGTTGAAGCCAAGGAGCGGAGGCAGAGAGAGGAACAGGCAACATGTCAGGGGCAAGCAGAGGGTGATGTTGTGACGCAAGCATTTAGAAATGCTGTCAGAGGCACGGTGGAAGGGCATGAGCATGAGAGGCCAGGGGGCGATGCTGGGGGTGGGCGGGAAGGGTCTGTAGAATTGAAGAAGGAAGGAAGCGACGATGGAGGAGAAAAGAAGAGAAGAGTGGATGAAAGGGGGGAGAAACAAAGAGGAGGAGAAGAGGAGAGAGGAGAAGAGGAGAGAGGAGAAGAGGAAGAGAGTGAGGTTGAGGTGGTGGAGGAGGAAGTCAGTGGGGAGGCAAGGGAGAGGGGTGAGGCAGAGGGGGAGAGGGGTGGCGCAGATTGGGTGGCTCTGAACGGGGACTCGGAACAGCAGGGCTGGGTGGCTTGTGCGAGCTGGGAGGAAGTGACAGAGCCAGAGAAGCGAGAGGAGGACGACGAGGGGGGCGAGGAGGACGAGGAGGAAGAGGAGGGAGCGGAGGCAGACGAGGAGATGGTGATTGGGAAGTTGCAAGGGCGTGGGGTTGAGACTTGGAGGCGTGGGAAGGAGAGGAAGAACGGGAGGGTGGGGGGGCAGCAGGAACCCCTTCTTTTTGTTGTGGCGGTTCCAGAGAAGGACTATGATGCTTCGGTGTGGGATGTTGGTGGTGACGGGGAGAAGGAGAATTGGGGGAGTGGTGAGGGGAAGGCGGAGGAGGGGCGAGACGTTTTTGACGGGCAGGAGGAGGGAGAGAGAGGGAGGAAGAGGCGGCGAGTGGCGTTTGCTTGTGACACCCTGGGGAGTGATGTGAATAGTGCTAGTGCATATGATGTGAAGCGAGAAATACTGGCTGTTGATTCTTGCAGCTCTGCTGCGCGCACGCGACCACGCCACCATGCACCCGAACCCTTGAACCACCATGCACACGACCCTTCCCACTCCTACGGCATTCCAAACCCAGACAAACCACTCCATCCTGAGGTGCTCGTTGACTCCTCTCACAACCCATCCCATCCACCCCCTCCCCAGCCATCCCAACCGCCTGACTCGTGTCATTCTCCCCATCGACCTTCACCCACCCAGCAATCACCCACCCAGCAACCACCCACCCAGCAATCACCCACCCAGCAACCACCCACCCAGCAATCACCCACCGCAGGCCTCTCACCCTGTCAGAACCCCCTACCTTTGACCCGGGCCAACGGTGGGCACCATGATTCACCAGGCGTGGAAGGACACACCTTCCCCATCTGCCTCGCCTTGCCTGCCCAATTTGCTGCTGTTGTAGCTGCCAAAGCTGCCGCTGCTGCCAAAGCTGCTGCTGCTGCCAGTGCGATTCTTGGCGCTGCCACTGCTGCTTCTGGTGCCAGTAGTGATGATGGCAGGGCGAGCATTAAGTATGTGAGAAAGCGCAAGGCAGCGGACACTGCTGGTGCTGGCGCTGCTGCTGCTGCTGCTGCTGCTGCTGCTGCTGCAGGCGCTGGCGCTGGTGCTGCTGCTGCTGCTGCTGCTGCTGCTGGCGCTGGCGCTGGCGCTGGCGCTGGCGCTGGTGCGGGCGTTGCATCCTCTGAGCAGGTGATTTTTGAGTCGACTCAAAAATCCTCTGAGCAGGCGAGGAGCCAGCAGCAGGAGGAGCAGGCAGTGGGAAGTGCTGCTGGTGCTTGCGGCGCATCGACGCACGAGCAGGAAGAGAAAACGGGAGAAGTCGAACGAAGGATGCAGAATGGGCAGGAAAAGGAGCAGGCAAGAAGACAGCAGCAGGAAGAGGAGCAGGCAGTGGGAAGAAGTGCTGCTGCTGCTGCTGGTGCTGGCGGCGCTGCTGGTGGTGGTGATGCACCCACGCACGAGCAGGCAGGGGAGTATGGAGAAGCAAAGCGACCAAGATGGGGCAGAGCTGATGAGGAGCAGACAAGAGACGAGCAGCGGGAAGTGCAGGGAAGGCGAGGAGGACAGGGGCAGCAGGAGGAGGGAAAGAAGGGGAAGAAGTGGCAGCAGGGGGAGAAAGAGGAGCAGTCGAAGCACGTTGAAGCTTATCTTTCCAATCCGACAGTGGAGGAAAAGGGGGCGGTTCTGCTGTCTGGCAAGAGACGGAGGGGAGGGACGGCAAGACGGAAAAGAGTTGGTGGCTGGGGCGCCGTGCTTGGGTTCGGGAGGGGCACGTGGGAGGGGGGAATAGAACACGTAGAGGATAACAAGGATAACGTAGAGGATAAGCTTCTAGAGGGTAAACGCATTGAAGTGGGGTCTGAAGCTGAACGTGAGGAGGAGGGGAGCGTACCTGAGCATGCTGAGGATAACAAGGAAGCTGAGTTAAATAAGGCTCCGAAAGTCGTGGCGAGGGCTGGAGAGGGTAGAGAGGGAAGATTCTCGGTTTTTAGCAGCGGAGCAAAGGGGAGGAGTGACTGCATTCCTTGGATGGTGCACAGCCTACTGGCGAAGAGTGGGACACACAAAAGGAAGCGGAGGAGCGCTGCTGAGGAGGAGGAGGAGGGGGAAAAGGAGGAGGAAAAGGAGGAGGAAAAGGAGGAGGGATGGGAGGAGGAGCATAGAGAGCTGAGTGCGGGGGATAAAGGAAGGAAGAGGCCGGGTTTGTCTGCTGGAGGGAGTCAAGGGATGAGAGGTGTCAGGGCGAGGAAGGGGCAAGGTGGCAGGGGTGGTGTGGAAGAGGAGAAGGGCGACACGGAAGTTGAGGTGACAGGGGGAATCGGGGCTCAGGGGGAGCATGAGATGGTTTTTGATGAAGTGGTAGAGGGGAGTGGCGGAGAGGAGGGGCAGGGTGGGGACGAGGGAGTGGTTAGCATGAGTGAAGATAGGAGAGAGAAGAGTGAGGGAGAGAGTGCAGGGGGGAAGGGAGAGGAATGGTTGGAGAGAAAGCAGACAGGGCTGGACCTCTTGATGAGGCGAACCAGTGCCATTGAGGGGAAGAGTGATAAGGACGGTAGGAATGAAAAGGAGGGGAAGGACAGAGGTAAAGGGGTGCGGGTGGGTGGTAAAGGGAGGAGGGACACGGTTTCCACAGGAGAGGAGGAGGTGTGTGCGAAGGGGGGTAGCGATAGTGACGGTGTGATCCGGATGAGAAGCACAGAGGAGGTGACAAACGCTGCCATGCGGTGCGCCTTTGAGGCGCCTCGAACGCGACGCACAGGGGAGGTGGCGAGTGCTGCTGCCTTTGAGGGGCCTCATACGCGACGCACGGGGGAGGTGGCGAATGCTGCTCTGCGGTGTGGGCGGGGGGAGGGTGCGGATGGGCGCAGCAGGCGGGGAAGAGGGCGGCAAAGGGGAGGAGAGAGTAGTGAAGGCGACGAGGAATCGAGTGATGAGGGTGAGACTGGTGAGGGGGGCGAGGAAGAGTTGCAGGAGGAGGAAGGAGAAGGAGAGGAAGTGGACGAGTCGCAGGACGAAGAAGAAGAGGAGGAGGAGGATGTGTATGAGCCTGAGGGGAAAAGCGATAGGCTGGGGAAGGGAAGGGGGAGGGGCAGAGGGCGGGGCAGGGGGAGGGGCAGCAGTAGGGGCAGGAGAAAAGAGAGTGAACGAAGGAGAGTGGGTACTGCAAGTATGGCGGAATCGAGTGGTGGAAACAGTATTGATGAGGGTGGGGAGGAGGAGAGTGATGAGGGTGGGGAGGAAGAGAGTGAGTCTGGGGAAGGGGAAGTATCAGAGGGGGGAGAAGATCTGTATGAGCCCGAGGACAAGCGATATGGGGTGGGACGGGGAAGGGGGAGGGGTAGAGGGCAGGGCAGAGGGCGGGGCAGAGGCAGAGGGAGAGGCGGAGGAAGGGGTAGGGTGCTGGAGGGGACTGATGACTCTGACAGTGACTCTCTCGAGGGAGGGGACGTGGAAGGTGCAGCGGGGCCCGGGGAGGAGAGCGGGGAGGAAAGGGGGGAGAGTGGGGGTGGTGGGGAGGGAGAGGATGGGGCGAGGAGCGAGAGTGAGGAGAGTGAAAGCAATGGGAGTGATGAGATAGGGGGTGGTGGAGGGAGAGGAGCAGGGGGAGGGAGAGAGGCAGGGGTTGGAGGCGGGAGAGGCAGGGGAAGAGGGCAGGGGGTCGGGAACGGACGGGGGCCAGGAAGAGGGCGAGGCAGGGGCATGGTTGCATTATTGTCAGTTAGGGGGGGGTATAGGCAGCAGGTTATGGTTATGGGGGAAAATGGCAAGATGCAGCTGAGAAAGATGGATTGACTATCAAGATTGCGTCAGTTAACCGAAATTCCAGCTCATTTTATTGTTTCGCTTTTAGGTGAAGGAATACCAGTATTTGGAATGACAAACGAGGATTTCACAACTTTAGGAGAGGGGATACGTTAAATTTAAGATATATATATTTTAAGACAGTATAATTCAAGAGCATTTGGCCGAGTGGTTAAGGCGTGTGCCTGCTAAGTACATGGGCTCTGCCCGCGAGAGTTCGAATCTCTCAGTGCTCGAGTGAACCTAGAGCCGAGGTTAACCAGGTTTTGATGTCTCGTCATCACTTATAAAATTCTTCAACCAAATTCTTGCACGTCTGGTGGATGGACACCACACGCTGCAGCCTAGCCATTCTATTAAATGAATGTCACTTAAAAGCCAGGGACCCAGGTTTCTAGAACCTGGGGCAAGTGTTTTACAGTTGGTTGGGAAAACCCAGGTTGTGTCACGAGGGTGCGTGAATTGCAATTGCAGGCGATTTCACTGGTGCCTACAGCTTGCCGGCCAATCAGTCGTTTTAGTCCCAACCAACTGTTTTACAGTTGGTAAACTTGGGTGCCAGCCAACATGACATGCTGTACCAGCACGTAGTAAGAAATTACCCAACATAAAGATCCCCTACAACCCGTGCAAATTCATCCCTTCGCTCTACAGCCAGGGCCGTACCAGGGGTTCTGGACATATCAGTGCTAACATCCTACTGTGTCGGAATAGACGTGTCGACTGTGCATGCCAGTGCCAGAATGGCTGCCAGACACGGCTGCCAGACACGGCTGCCAGACGTGGCTGTCAGAAGCGGCTGTGGCCGCCATGGCTGTGGCTGTCAGCCATTTGGCGGAGATCCCAGGAGGACGCACTTGGCACGCGGTAGCGCCGCAGAATCTGGGCATTGGACTGGTGGGGGGAGCACGTATGAGCACACATAGCGGCATAGAGACAGGAAGGCAAAGACGGGGAGATGATTAGGCAGGAGAGGAGAGGTGTGATACGGGGTCCACTTGACACGCAGTCGAGCTGCAGAATCTGGGCATTGGAAAGAAGGGCCCTCAATGCTCCTGCCACAGCTCGAGCTCTCTCCAACTCGTTAAAAAACACCACCTTTCTGGCAGCTGCTATGTCGATGGCGATGATTCGCCCGTCCTCCAGATCGAAGCGCACGAACGGTCCAGATGTCTCCAGCACGGCGTCTCTGAGCTGCTGAATGTTATCCACTTCAACCCCATTCACCTTTAGCACCTAGCGAGGGTTGAGGGGGAGGGGTGGGGGGAGGGGGAGAGGGGAGGGGGGGATTGGAAAGAGAGGTTGAGGGGAGGGGGGGGGAGGTTGAGGGGAGCATGTTTCCAGGCGTTCCTGAGGATTTGTGGATCTAAAAGTCATTGTCAACGTCTACACCATTCACCCTGGGCACCTGGCGAGGGTGGGGGAGAAGAGAGGACAGGAGTGGAAAGGAGAGGAGAGGAGAGGAGAGAGTGAGGGAAGAGGGTGAGGGAAGAGGGTCAAGCAAGGAGGGCGAGGAGGCTTTGGAAGATGAGATGATGGCAAACAAGGGAGGGTGCGTGCATGTGTGTGTTGCGAGGAGGCTTTTGAAGATGGTCAATTACGTTTTTCAACTCACGTACACGTAAAATTACGCGTAATTTACGCCTGGCAGATGGAAAAAATATTACAGGAATAAATCATATACACATATATATATATATATATATATATATATATATATATAAAGAGCCACAGTGAGCACTTGTGCTTATACCGGGCAGGGGGAAACCAGCAGTTGAATGGCAGACGCAAACAGATTTCCTAAGGGAATGGGGAGTGACTTTTGAGTCGACTCAAAAGTCAGACGCAAACAGATTTCCTAAGGGAATGGGAAGCGGTAGCTCGACAAGCATAGAGTGGGGGCTGCTGGGGAAAAAGGATGCGGGCGATGGGAAGGGGAGGTGATCAAAAGAAGGGGTTGACTCCTTTTTTAATGTCTACCTGTTGAGTCACCAACCCTTGTCAACATCATCGTGTCGTCGCACCTGCAACACATTTGATTTGGTCGGTAAGTGACATGTCGACCAGTTCCCCGGCAGCACAGAACATACACTTGCAAATTCTGACCAATTGGGAGTACACCAGAAACGGTAGTTTCTGGTGTGACTAACTTGTTTGTTTTTTTGGTAAAATGAGTGGAAAGCCATCTCTATACAAGGAGCACTCTTGGGCAGCCTAAAAAATAAAACTCTGCCCGAAACATAAACTGGATTTTAGAAAATCGTAAACGTAACATAACGTAAGCGTAAGCGCAACGTAAACCGACGTACACGTAAACGTAAAGTCCATCTTAGGTTGCAAGCACCCCAGGCCAGGTCACAGAAAGGTTGAGTTGGGAGAAGAGGGTATTGCAGGCTTCCAAATTTCAAGAACCCCGCGTCTGCAGGTCTGCAGGTCTAGCGCCAAGTAGTTCATCTCACCTGCAGGTCTGCCAGGCGCTCGTAGCCACTATTGACTTCGTCAGGCAGCACCTGGTGCAAGAAGAAGGGAGGGAGGGAGGGATGGAGGGAGGTAGGGACGGAAGGATGGGCAGGTGATGAGGAGAAGGAGCGCCCGACTAGTGCGACATGTCATCGGGTGGCTTTCGGGTCGACTCAAAAGTCAGCTCGAATTGTGACACTTGTCACAAGGTGACTTTCGGGTCGACTCAAAAGTCAGCTCGAATTGTGAGACATGTCGAATTGTGACTACTGAGCCGACTAAAGTGTGAGCTCGACAAGTGAGACGTCACAAAAAGTATCCACCTTCATCCCCAAACCCACTGCCCGGCTTCTCTGAACTCTGAAGACAAGTGTATAAAGAGAAGCCCGATAACAACACCCCCAGTATCCACCTTCATCCCCAAACCCACTGCCCGGCTTCTCTGAACTCTGAAGACAAGTGTATAAAGAGAAGCCCGGTAACAACACCCCCAGTATCCACCTTCATCCCCAAACCCACTGCCCGGCTTCTCTGAACTCTGAAGACAAGTGTATAAAGAGAAGCCCGGTAACAACACCCCCAGTATCCACCTTCATCCCCAAACCCACTGCCCGGCTTCTCTGAACTCTGAAGACAAGTGTATAAAGAGAAGCCCGGTAACAACACCCCCAGTATCCACCTTCCTCCCCAAACCCACTGCCCGGCTTCTCTGAACTCTGAAGACAAGTGTATAAAGAGAAGCCCGGTAACAACACCCCCAGTATCCACCTTCATCCCCAAACCCACTGCCCGGCTTCTCTGAACTCTGAAGACAAGTGTATAAAGAGAAGCCCGGTAACAACACCCCCAGTATCCACCTTCCTCCCCAAACCCACTGCCCGGCTTCTCTGAACTCTGAAGACAAGTGTATAAAGAGAAGCCCGGTACCAACACCCCCAGTATCCACCTTCCTCCCCAAACCCACTGCCTGGCTTCTCTGGCAGGTTCCTGAGAGCGAGATCGCAGAGGCGGCGGGGGAGGTGTCGAGCCAGTCAGGCCCGTACTCGTGGTGCTTCTAGACGCAAGAGACCCCCTCTTACCCGGGAGAGGATAATTATTTGCTGGCCGGGTTTCTCCGGCAGGTTCCTGAGGGCGAGGTCACAGAGACGGCGGGGCGAGGCGTGGAGCCAGTCGGGGCCGTACTCGTGCAGGTAGGGCTGGGAGAGCGGCATGAAGACCAGCCCCGCGAATATGAAGTAGCTGGGGGCAGAATCGAACTGCTGTGCTGGCACCAGCGGGGGCAGCTGGGGGGGGGAGGAGGGGGGGAAGGGGGAAGGAGGAGGGGGGGAGGTGAGCAGAGGGTGGTTGATGGAGCCAGTCCGGGCCGTACTTGTGCAGGTAGGGCTGGGAGAGCGGCGTGAAGACAAGTCCAGCAAAGATGAAGTAGCTGGGGGCAGAGTCAAACTGCTGCGCTGGCACCAGCGGGGGCAGCTGGGGGAAGGGGGGAGGGAGAGGAGAAAAGAGGAGATATGCCACAGTTGGAAGTGGCAGGGCGCCGCGTCAAACTGCTGTGCTGGCACCAGGGGGAGGGAGCTGGGGGGAATGAGTGAGGGAAGAGAGGAGAAAAGGGCAGAGAAGAGATGCCATAGTGTGTGTGGTGTGGCAAAGTTGCAGCAGCTGCGGGCAGAGTCAAACTGCTGTGCTGGGTCCAGAGGGGGGAGCTGGGGGAAGGGGGAGTGGGAAGGGGGGGGTGGAGGGAGCGAGAGAGGGCAGAGGGAATATGTCGGGATAGGTGTGAAGTAGCTGAGCGTTGCATGAGAAATGCCTGGCAGTATGGCAGTCGCGCCAGAAACGAACAGGCTGGGAGGTTTGGCAGAGAGATGAGATGAAGTAGATTGGGTATCAAGTGCCGCACACCATTTCAGTGCAGTCCACCGCATCAACCGAACCTGCCTCACATCCACCGAACCTGCCTCACATCCACCGAACCTGCCTCACATCAACCGTCATGTCAAAGTGCATCATCCCGCCCCCCCCCCCTACCCCCACCCCTTCCCCTTCTTAGACCAAAACTCCGGCCCATTCCCCAACCCGAATCTATTTTTGAGGCGCCCAAAAGCAACATAGCTCACCGTATCGACGGTGATTTCAAAGTGCATCAGCTGCCCTCCTCTGTAGACCGACACTCGCGCCCGCTCCCCACTCCCCTTGAGCGACACCAGATAGTCAAACGGCAGCCGCTCACGCTTGCGGAACAGCACTGGTGGGCGTGCAAGGAACCAGGGAAGGCGGGAGAGGTGCAAGAAAGGGTGGGAGGGGAGCATGTGAGTGCTGATGGGGAAAGTGGGAATTATGCAGGAATGGGTGCCGGCACGAGCTGACTTTTGAGTGGACTCAAAAGTTTCCTCAGCCACGTGGCACCCCATTCGTGCTAATGCCACACTCACCTCACTCATTGGCTGCACTGCGTCCACCCGCACGCCCGTGGGTGGGACCACGTTCGTGCTGATGCCACACTCACCTGTCCCCCATCCCCCATCCCCACACCCACCTGACCCACAGTCCCCCACACCCTCCTGTCCCACAGTCCCCCATCCCAAGCCAATGCAGTGCAGTTCCCATCGTCACCTGAACGCCATCAAACGCCGTCAGCACGTCGTCCTTCTTCAACCACCTGCTGCTCTCACTCGTTTGCTGCACCACGCTCACCAGCACCACTTTCAGCTTGGGGAGTCTATTTTTGAGGCCTCAAAAATAGACTCCTCACTTTCATCACTCCCCCCCTCCCCCCCCTCCCCACCCGACGCCGCACTCACCTGACCCATCATCGGCAATATGGACGCCATCAAACGCCGTTAGCACGTCGTCCTTCTTGAGCCACCTGCTGCTCTCGCTCATTGGCTGCACCGCGTTCACCAGCACGCCCGTGGCGCCACGTGGCAGCTTCAGGTGCTCCCTCAGCTGCCAGTTGTCAAGCGGCTGGCAGGAGACCCCCAAGGAGGAGAAGCCCCGGAAGTGGTGGTGGTGCAACGCCACGTCGTGCAGGAAGCGGTGGATGATGGGCGTGGGCACGATGTAGCTGCGAGGGCAGTTGTGGAGCAGGGTGGGGGAGGGTGGGGGCGGGGGGGGGGGGGGTGTGGAGGGACGAAAGAGGGTGCTTAGGAAACAGAGGAGCGGAGCAAGCAGAGTGGCGGAGAAAGCAGAGGTAGAGGATCATCACACATGCGAGATGATCCTGGGGACACCGCTGGGGGAGCATGGGGGATACAGCACAGCTCACACTACCTACTCACCCGATGTTGTCCGAGCCTGTGAGGTTATGGAACGCCACCCCAACTACCTGGTGCTCCACCCTCATCTCCACCGGCGCCCGCGCTGCCACTGGGAGAAAAAGCACAGCTCACACTAGTCACCCACCTGATGTTCTATGCCCCTGTCAAAGAGAGCTCACCCGATGTTCTCTGCCCCTGTCAAAGAGAGCTCACCCGATGTTCTCTGCCCCTGTCAAAGAGAGCTCACCCGATGGTCTCTGCCCCTGTCAAAGAGAGCTCACCCGATGTTCTCTGCCCCTGTCAAAGAGATATCACCCGATGTTCTCTGCCCCTGTCAAAGAGAGCTCACCCGATGGTCTCTGCCCCTGTCAAAGAGAGCTCACCCAATGGTCTCTGCCCCTGTCAAAGAGAGCTCACCCGATGGTCTCTGCCCCTGTCAAAGAGAGCTCACCCGATGTTATCTGCCCCTGTCAAAGAGAGCTCACCCGATGGTCTCTACCCCTGTCAAAGAGAGCTCACCCGATGGTCTCTGCCGCTGTCAAAGAGAGCTCACCCGCAGTCGCTCACCCGATGTTCTCTGCCCCTGTCAAAGGTCGCTCACCCGATGTTCTCGGCGCCGGTGAGGTTCTGGAACGCCACCCCCACCGCCTGGTACTCCACCCTCATCGCCACTGGCGCCCGCGCTGCCGCCTCCTCCGCCGCCCGCTCCGCCTCGATCTCCGCCCACCCCCCTCCAATCCCCCGCTCCTCCTCCCCCTCCTCCTCCCTCTCCCCCCTCCCATCTTCTCTCCCCAGCCGCATCATCCCCTCTCCACCTTCCTCCCCCCAGTCCAGCCCCTTAAAGCCTGGGAGATCGTCCTCGTCCTCCAGTATCGATCTCTGCCGCCCGCTCCCTGCCCTCCCACCAGGCGTCCCCTGCAATTGTGACTGTATGCGGTGTGACTGTGTCACATCCCTGCTGCTGCTGTTGTTGCTGCTGCTGCTGCCGTTGTTGCTGCAGCTCTCACCGGTGCCACTGCTGTCGGCCAGCACGGGCACGTGTGTCATCACGAGCGCCGGGCCGCCGCTGTTCCCCGGGTTGATGGCAGCGTCGATCTGAATGGCCAGCAGGTGCGCACCGCTGTGCGCGTACTTGGTGGGCTCGACACGAGACACCACGCCCATGCTGATGCTGATGTTGTCGCCGCCTGGGGGGGTGGGCGGAGGGGAGAGTGGGGGAAACGGGAGGGGGGGGAAGGAAGGGAGGGGGGGCTGTGCGCGTACTTGGTGGGCTCCGCCCGCAACACCACGCCCGTGCTGATGCTGATGTTGTCGCCGCCTGGGGGGAGGATGGTATGCAGGGGAGAGTTGAGGGGGGACGAGGGGAAAGAGTCAGAGCAGGAGAGGTCGGCTGTGCGCGTACTTGGTGGGCTCCATGTGGGACTCCACGCCCGTGCTGATGCTGATGTTGTCGCCACCTGGGGATTTGAGGCAGGGAAGTGGGGGGAGAGGAAGGGAGAGAGAAGAATGCATGGCGCGGGAGCTGTGAGAGGGAGAGCGGGAGGGGAGTGGGGGGGGGGAATGAAGGCGCTGCAAATACCACGCTCGTTGTGGTGTCTTGGAAGAGGTCCCTCACCTTGCGAGTAACCCACTACTGCCACTCATCCCAGCAGCTGGGGCACATCCCCCAGAGGCAGCGGAACTCAAACTGCGCTTGAGTCGACTCTAAGCTCACCTTGTGGGTAACCCACTACGGCCACCGACTCCTGCAGCTGGGGCACATCCCCCAGGGGCAGGGGGTTCAGCCCCGCCCAAAACTCCTCGTTGCCACCCCCCCCACCCCCCCTTCCGCCCTCCCCCCTTCCTCCCATTCCCATCCCCCCGCCCATGTCCCCCCCCATCCCCATCCCCCCTCCCATCCGGTTCCCCATTCCGCCCCCCCCTCCTCCCCTCCCCCCGCCTCCGAAGTCCCCCATCGCGCCCCCTCCGCCCCTCCCCCCTGTCCCCCCTCCCTTATCCTCCCCGAATCTGTCATGGTGGTCGTGATCATGCTCATGCTCGTGGTGCCCGCCCCGCCCCCCCATCCCTCCGCCCCTGCCCCCGCCCCCTGCGCCTGCTTCGTCCACTGTGAGCAGCGCCAGGTCGCACTCGTGCGCCACTGCCTGCACCTGGTGGCGTGGAGAGTAGAGGGTTAAGGGAGCGGGAGGTTGGAGGGGGAGGTTAGTGCTAGGAGGGGGTAGGTGGGCAGACCAAGGCTGGACCATACGGCTGGTCCACAAGGAGCGCGGCGAGGTGGCGTTCAAGTGGCACTGCCTGGGAATGCGCTTGAGGGGGCGAAAGGGGAAAACCAGCGGTGACAGAGGTAACCAGCGGTGACAGAGGTAACCAGCGGTGACAGAGGTAACCAGCGGTGACAGAGGTAACCAGCGGTGACAGAGGTAACCAGCGGTGACAGAGGTAACCAGCGGTGACAGAGGTAACCAGCGGTGACAAAGGTAACCAGCGGTGACCAGAGGTAACCAGCGGTGACCAGAGGTAACCAGCGGTGACAGAGGTAAGCAGCGATGACCAGAGAGGTGAGCAGCCGCACATGCTTTCCTCAGCAAGCATGGATCCCGTTTCCACTCTCCTGAGCGCCTCAGTTTGACCCCCAAACCCCTCTCATGGTCTCTCGCTCACGCACCTGTGCGAGGTACTTCTTGGGCGACCCGTGCTTCCTGACCAGCACAAACGCCTGGTCGGCCACGATGTGCGCGCTGGTGAGGATCCGACGGCCCATGATCACGAACCCTGCACCAGCCAATGGGGGAAGGGGGGGGGGGACGGGAGGGAAGGGGAGGCGATGAGAGGGTGCATTGGGCTTTGGGGCGCGCCAACAAAGGGCAGCAGGAGGCAGCGGAGTTGTGCGGGACAGCCAGGGGAGAGGGAGGGGGAGCAATGAGCATAACAAGCCTCACCTGAGCCCGTGACTTCGCGCTGCGGTTTGTTCTGCCATGGCAGCCGGTAGTTGGGGCTGCTGCCCACGGCGAACACCTTCACCACCGAGTCCAGCACCACCTCCTGGTCGTCCGCGGGTAGGTGATCGTCCTCCACCACCTCCGCGCCTTCCGCTTCCGCGCCCTCCCCCGCCCCCCCTCCCACGCGAAAATCGTCCCGCGGACCCGGCGGCATGAGCGCCTGAGCGGACGGGCCTTCCCGCCCCAGGCCCATCCCCGGACCCATATCGCTGAGCCCCGTGTCCCCACGCTCCCCCCCGTCCCGGTCCATGCTCAGGCCTCGCCTAAAGAGCCAATCGGCGAGGGAAACACACGTCGGACCTGCGACAGCGATGGAGGACCCCGAACCTGAGGCTCGGTGCCCGGGCCAAGAGGCTCGGGGAGGACGGATGGCGGCGGAATGTTGGTAGTGGGAAGCTGGTGGTTGGTGGAGGGAGGAGCCGGGGAGATCGGAAGGGTTCCGTAGGCCATGGGATGCGGAGGTCGGGACTGCGATTGTGTGTGAGTCCTTGACTGCAATTCTGTGCAGGGTGGCTTCTTGAGATGGTGGTGGAATGCGTTCGGTGGTATGGAGATGGGCTGATAGATTCCGATCGCCGTTAGATGCGGAGGAATAAGCGGCGACCAATGCGGGGAGGTTGACGGCTCTCAGGACGGCCCATGACAGCTGGCAGGCGGCGGTTGGCAGATGGCGAGATGCCAAGTGCGATATGACTGGTGATGGGTTAACCGCCGCCATTATCCGAACTCAATCGAAAGGGTCTACCTTCTGTGCTTCTGCAAGCGAGTAATAATGTGTTATGAGTGCTCCATACAGTATTAGTGCGTGTAACCGATGGCAATCGCGTGGTTACCAACGTATACTTCACGTTGAGGACGCAAAAGTATATCATCGTACTGGTACGTCATGGCACCATGCCGTGGAGCCGCCGATGAATACTCCAGCACCAGAGCACCATGACTAGCTCGACGAGCAGAACAAGCGGAAGTGAACAAACCTATCAGTTGCCGAACCAACTGTGAGATAAGTGTAAGTCAGAAATAAGAGGAAGTAAATCTGGGCTGGAGTGGGGAAATCACTGACCTGTAGAAAAGAGAGTTCACTGACAGAACTTGCCACGTGGATTAGATCCTGTACTGAGTGGGAGACCCCTCGATAGTGTCATTGCTGCTTTACACCCGTTCCAGCAATCTGAGCCGAGCAAGGCACGTGTCGGGTCGGATCGGCGGGAGCCCCCTCGCCAAGTCAAACTTGGCTCGAGCTTGTGTGGACAGCAGCGACAAGCTGGTAAACAGAGATATTCTGGTGCCGACTGACCATTAGTGACTTTCAGCAATATCGGGTACAGATGTGAGAAGCATGGTAAATCGCTACGCTACGTTTATGGTACCCATAATAGTTCAAATCCAAAATCCAGCTAAATCTTAGCGAGACTGGCGTTTCATCTCATACCCTCAATAATGCCCCGACACATCAGCCAGATCAAACAGGTCGTTGATAATCTGAGCTCTTGTATTACCATTGTAGAACTACCCAAATAGCAAAAGCTGTTCCAAGCTAATGCCAAGTGTTGTTGCCATCTGCTCACAATGCAAACACCACCACAGGCACAAGCACATACAGCATTCAGCTCACTGACGTGCTTATGCACTTGCAGAAAATGCCATTAAATAAGCTTCCCTCCCCCTTCCTTTGCAAAGACGTATGTGTGGTACATACCTGCTTCACAAGCCCCTTTCTGGCACCGCACTTGAAGCGAGTCGTGCTTGCCAGCCTGTCATCCCCTGATTGGCTCACGAGCCCACAGCGAATGAGAGTCGCGAGCTGAGTCAGCAGGCTGTCATCCAGAGCAGGAGCTGACTCGGCAGCAGCAGGAGAGCGTGCGGCAAGCGGAGCGGACCAATGAGCTTTCGCCAAGTGGTGAGCCATGAGCAGCCAGCGGGAGAGAGGGAAGGGGATGGGCCCTTGCTGCTGGGCCTCTCTTGCCTCCCTAGCCTGCTTGTCTATATCCGCTGCACTTGCCCTCCTCCTTTTTGACCGGAAAGCGTTTCCTCCAGCCTGCTTGGCGTCGGAAAAGTTGAAGAGAGTAAGATCGGATGGCGCTGGGCTGCGGGAGCAGGTGAATGCTGCCACGAGGGCGAACCGGGCCATGATGGGAAGATCCGGACCGTCCAATGGGGCCTCTGGGCCCCATCCTAGTCTCTGCTGTTGCTGCTGGGGGCATTGGAGGGGGTACAGGCTGTGGAATCGGGAGCCAACAGCAGCAGGAGAAACAGAAGCACCAGCATTGACCACGGAAGATAGCACGAGGGCGGAAACCGGCTTCTTGAGTGTGGCTCCGATGTGCTCCTGTGCCCGCATGTACAGCAGGCGAGCGCAGCTGGGATGGTCGGGGGGCACTGAGCCGGTGGAGATAGGCGCGGTGTAGAGCGGCCAGGTGTGGTCCACTAGAGATGCCAGGTGGGGCAGGGAGCGGCATGAGCGGGAGTACACTGGAACCACCTGCCTGGGGTCGGTGCAGAGGGGGGAGTGAAGGGCATTGGCGAGTGGGAACATGTGGGCGAAAAATATGGGGTCAGGAGATTCACAGAGATTCAGGGCAGTGGGCGGTGGGCGGTGGGCATGCGGCAACAAGAAGGTACTAAGGACGGCAGTTCGCCTATGAAGTACCTGAGGAAGGAGAGGAAGAGTGGCTGATTGGGACGCATCCCCACCAGCACCGTTTCCAGCTGCGTGTCGCTGTACTGTGGGAAGAATACTGTCACCGGCTCACATGTTGCCACTGCCATTGCTGCTGCCGCCGCTGCTGCTCCTCCCCCTCCTCCTCCCCCTCCTCCCCATCCTCCTCCCCACCCTCCCCCCCAGCTGCCCCCACCCCCCATCCCTCCTGCGCCAAGGCCACAAGTTGAAGCCCAGTCCAACTTGCTGACTAGAATGAGCCCCAGGTTCGGCTGCCCCAACAGTTCGGGCAGGCGGAGGAAAGTCTCCAGCAGCTGCGGACCTTCCCCCACGGGAAACGTTTTGAGCTGCTCCAGGTTGTCGATAACAAGGTAGACTGTAGGGGGGATGGAAAATCTGGCCGCTGCTCGCATCGGATCTGCCTCCATGCCATCCAACGGCCCAGCAGCCTCTGTCTGTGGAGGAACTAGAGACGCCTCGCGACATGGCTTAGCCAGACAGGCTTCGGGATCCTTCACAGCCGATGCTTGAGGATCGGGCCTGCAGTGCGGGCCCTTATCATCCGCTGGTCTCCTCACAATGACTGTCTGCTCCCTTTTGTCTACCGCCTCTGAGCTGTCTGCGCGTGCGAATACAGCTGCCAGAGAGCGGCGAGCAGACGGGTGGGTGGGAGCACCACCTCTCGTGGCCTTGTCCTTCGCCGTGTTGCCTACCCTTTGCTCCTGCACCTCATTCAACCGCAGCATCTGCTCCTCCTCCCGCTCCTCCTCTTCCCGCTTCTCCTGCTGCTGCTGCTGCGGCTGCTGTACCGGCCACAGCTCTGCATCAACCAGACCCATTTCAATCACGTCGTCCTCCTCTAAGTCACCCACTTTCCGCACCTCCGTTTCTTCGCCTCTCTCCTCCCCTTCCTCCTCTCCGTCCTCACCCCGCACTTCCCCCTCCTCCATCTCGTCTCCACCGGCCTCCATCCCATTGCAAACCCCCATTCCTCGCTCCTCCTGCTCGCCCTTCCCTCTTTCTTGCGTGTGAACCGTGGGCCGATTGGCATGGCGGGGCGACGCTGGCGCCTGCAGCACTGCCTCCTCGTGCTCTAACCCAGCAGTGCCGGCAGGGATTGCAGCAGCGGCATCAGTAGAGGCGGTGCAGGCTCTGGTGGCGGTGACAGCAGCCATTCTGCTTCGCAGCATCCCTCGAGTGATCCTCCTCTCCTCTTCCCCTTCCCATGTTATCACCCCCTCTCCTACCTTCTTCCCCCCTCCTCCCACACACACAGCACCATTTTCGCCCTTCCGTCTCTTCTTCCTCTCCTCTTGTTCCTGACCCTCCTCTTCTCCTTCTCCCCCTTCCCTCTCCTCTCTTTTCTCCCCTCCCCTTTCTTCATCAACACCTTCCCCTTCCCCCTCTTCCTCTTCCCCCACTTCCCCGTCCGCGCCTTCCCCCGACAGCACCCGCAGCAGCGCCCTCAGGAATGCAGCTCGGTTGGGGACGGCGGAGGTGGAAATTGCGGGCAACACGCATGTGCGCGCAAGGCTCTGCTCCCCTTGCTGCTGCTGCTGCTGCTGAGCCAGCTGGGTTAGAACTGCGTGGTAAACGGACTGGGAAGAGCCGCAGGCGGAGGTGAGGGGGAGGTAGATGTGGGGACGGCGCATCTGCGAGAGCGCACCGCGGATCACGGCGGTCTTCCCGGTGCCTGGAGGCCCGCAGAGGAAGAGAGGCGGCATGCGATCGAACGGTCCTCCGACGTGCAGGAGAATGTCCTCGATCTGCCACGTGGCGTGAGACGATAGGAAGGCGGAAATTGGAACAGGTGGAGGAAAGAGAATAAAAAAGGTGGGAGGGAGATCGAAAAGCAAGGGATAGCCTTGGTCTGCGACGCTAACGCAAGAACAGACGAAGTAGTGGAGGACATTATGAAAACGAAAACATGGGAGCATGGTTTTTATGGAGTCCGAAGGTCCAAGAGAAAGAATCTGCTGCAAACGACTTCAGAAAAGCAAGCGACTTCTGAAAAGCAAGCGACGAAGCACACTGGCCGTGGCAAATCGCCTGACCCGACAACAAGCAAATCGATCGGCTTGCTACCTGTCGCTTCCGGCAGGGAAATCTCGAGCGAAGCTGCTCCGCAACTACCCTTGCGTCCATCTTGCCTTGCCGGCGGTCCTGGGTGCCACCTTTAAATCGGCGGCTAGCCTCACAGCTGTCTATACCATGCGAGCGTTACGACCGCCGGTCGAAAAAGGCGGCGCTTTTAGAAGTGACACTTTCGACAGGAGGTGCGAGCACGCGTTTCACACTCGCGAGCTCCTTGGCGCGAAGCCGTAATGCGGAAGCTTGGCTCTCGCACGATCTGCCGCTTCATAGACGAACTGATTCGTCTCGAGTCAACAGCATTACGATCGCCAGAGCACTAATACTGGAGAGTAGCTCGAGCCTACAGACTCGTTAAGAACCTGTCGACCCTGCAGCGGATGAATTTCGCTGCCTGCTTCGTTAGGGCCGCACTAGAGCCGTGAAGTACGGAGTGGGTTTCCGTAGCAACAGATGAACTCGGCTCAAGTTGGCCCTAATCGGCTAAAGTCGGCTCAAGTCTACAGCCAGACTGCTCCTGTCTCGAAACCGCAAATACGTGCGCATTCAACAGATGGCTCCGAGTAGGAAATCGAGGGAGGAGACACCGCTACAACGAGCAACAGAAACCCGATTTTCCACTCACGAATTGAGAGAAATCGCAGTGAGAGAAATGAGTGAGCCGATTTCTCACTGTATGGGAAGTTGGAAGATGGAAGATGGGTGAAAAGTCTGGAGCCGCGCTGGGAGGTGGAAATGGAGAACCCAAGGCCAATGCAATCATGCTCAATTTTGGCGGGAGCAGTGGAACGGCTCCCTCAAGAATACACCAGACCTCACTAGAAGGAATAAATAAAGTGTAGCTACACTGAAACCAGGCTTTCAGTACATTTGAGGGCATGCGAAGAAACTGGTTACGTGACTCAGGTGTTCCTCGTCCTCGTCGATGTCGTCAACTGTCGCCAAACATCCACCCGTCGCAACCGATCATGCACGCCCTTGGTGTTGCCAGGGGCCAGTCTTCTCAAATGACTTCAAGTTTCAACCCATCCCATCTATGATCCCATCACCTATGCTGCTATCTCTGATCCACTCTTTACTCGACCAGCAATAAAGGCAGCGTTTTGCTCACACCAAACCAGAGAGGCTAACTATCCTCCTTTCCTTCCCTGCTGACTGTTATCTTCTCCTCTAGGCTGCTTCTCCCGAAGCGCATTGCGGCTGTTCTCGAATTAGCAATCTCGCTCTATACCGCTGCTCCACC